GTTCTTTCCTCTGTTGCCCTTTCTCCACTCTCTCAAAACTGTTGAAAATTTGTAAGATTTTAGAAGAAAGCAGACATGCTTAAGTTTTTAATAGCTACAGGAAGAATACCTGCACAGCTCTATTCAGAGAACAGAATCTGTACACAGAAAAATCTCTATGACTACTCCAGGCTTTATGTTTTCTCATTTCCAGTGTGGATATTGTAGTGATATCATAATAGTGTTAGTGCCACTTAAGCAAAGGTATGCTGTCATGAGCTCAGAAAAGGTGCACTGCTGGGCTAAGGCTAATTCTATTAAAGTCAGTGTGAAATTATAATTAAGAACTCTGCTAAATCAGCTGTTAAAGAAGAGAAGAATAAAATTTACCGTGTCTGTTCCTGAGGTAAATAAAAAGAAATATAAGAAGAAATTAAAACGTAAAATTGAAATAATGATACGGATGGTCAAACATCGAAACAGGCTGGGGAATAGCTAACCATGGAGACATTCAAAGTCGCTCCAATAAAGTCCTGAGCAACCTGGCTAGCTTTAAGCAAGCAGCTGAACTAGACGATCTTCAGAGGTACCTTCCAATCAAAATTATTTTATTAGAGGAGACTCTTACCTTTTAATATCTACACAACCAGTAAAGTTGGAAGGAAGACAGAAAAACTAGATTTCTACCTGGTGCTTAAGCTGGGTTTAAGAAAACGGCTCTTGTTCTAGTAGTAATAGAACATCATGAACGGGTTTTCCCTTGTGCAATTCTGTTTTTCTGTATTGCATTATCATTCAGATACTTCATAACTTCACATATTTAAGGACTCTGACTTCTGACATAAAAGGGCTGTTCTATACAAAACATTTTTTCTTTCAAATGAAACTAAATTGCTTCTACACATAGCAAAAGGTGGGTGGTAGGAGAGAAGTATTTGTTACTTGGAAGTGGTATCAGTCAATTAAAATTGGGTTTCTGTTGTTACAAGCAGCAATTAAAATATAGTACTTTATTTTATTATTTATTTACCATGCCAGACTACTTGCTGCCTGATTACTTGTCTAAAATCCAGTTTTACTTGATGGGAACATGTTCCATTTTTACTCAGCCAACTACAGTACTTGTAATACAATGCTACTATCTGAACTTTTACAGCATATATGCTTCAAGAATTAACCATTTTAAGAATTTAGAGGTTCTAATGCCTCATCTGAGCAATGCTTCTGTCATGACCATTTTCCCACCTCCTTTTCTTCCCACAATAAAAAAGGGTACAAAATATTATGTAAGGTTTCCCTTTTCTAATATCAAGGTAGAAATATGTGTTATAGAAAAAGGTTGCAATGCCAGCTACGATCACTCTTGTAATCTCAAAAATTAGGACAGATGTCTTATACAATGTAACAGTTTTCCTAACATCAGTTTATCTATGATGTTGCCCATTTTTTAATAAGTTGTTCTCTTAACAGAATTAAGATTGGTTAACACTAGTTCTACATCTTACACTGCCAATTGTTTTTTGACTAAATCAAAATACAAGGTTAAATTAAAGGCTTGAAGTACCCTTTACTAGTTGCAGCTTCTGAGTAGACACACTGCTTCGATGACCACAGGAAAGCCATTTCATTAAATACACTCATAACAATACTTCTCATTTCCATCAAGCATATTAACATAAATAATTGGCTAGCCTAACAGAATATTAATAAGTATTTTCAATAGCAATGTAGTTGTTATTATTGTCAACAGATGCACCAAACTGTGGTAAAAGTGATGCCAATCTGGACATTTTATGTTAGATAGTGATACAATAGCCTGTATGAACTTTTTTAAAAATCCAAAACCAAGACAAATATACAATAATATATCACACAACAAAGTGACTTTTTTTATATATTGAAACTGCTACCAAGCAATCTGGCCACTTTCAGAACAGTCAGGCATTATAAATATAATCTTGGCAAACTGCACTTCAAACATGCTTCCAGAAAGATCGAAGGCAAAAGGACAATGTATTTACTGTGACTTACTGAGGCTTAAGGGCAGAGTCATTCTTTAGAACTGTCCCAAGAAATAGTTCCATTAAAGCCATGTCAGAAAACACAGAATAATATACTTTAATAAATGACATTTTGTCCTGCTTAGCAGCAGAGGACTAATGTGACTTAAGAATCTCAATATTCTAAGCAGAAATTTTTCAGAGTACCTTAATTCTGCCCTGAAAAATGTGAACATTACACTAGCAGTCATATATATTTTTCATTGAACTTCAGAAACATAGATTACTACATACCCATATCAGCAAGACTATTTTAAAAGTGATATTTTAGAGAATACTCCTGAATGAAGATCAGTGGTTATAAAACTATGAAATGTAAGCAGGGAAAAGAAAGGCTGATCAAACTTCACAATCGACCAAATATTTGTATTTGATCTGATACAGCAAGGTATTCTATCTAAAAGATCTTCTAAACAGATAAAAATTGCTTCCTAAGGACAGAATTTTTGTTATGCTTAGGCAATTTTAACAAGCTTTTAAAATAGACATGCAAAAAAAAATCCAATTAATGTAGTGGCAAATAATACCATTATCCATTTCACAAAGCATCAGCTTACATAGGAAAAACATCTAATATCTGACAATAAAAATACCATATATCCCTTTTCACATAAAAATTTTTCCAACTTCTAAAAATTTCTTCTCAGAGAAGGAAAGAAAACTAGAACCTTTGGAAATTATCAAACCTGTCCTTTGCCCTGTTCTCCTTTATAGCAAATTTTCAATCAGTTTAAAGATTCAGTCTTGAACATACTGCACAACAAAAATGGTAGAATTTGTATTAAAAAAAAAGCTACTAATCCCTGGATAGATAAGCATAAATGCTTTCTTAGTCATTGTTACTATTTGATTAAAAGATGGTGAAAATCTAATGAGAATTCTTTGCTATTAGGTCAATTAAATAGCAACAGAACTACCTCTGCAGGAGGCTCAGAAATACGTAATTGCTTTCTCCAGCTTTCTACAGATCTTACCACCAGCTCTATACAGATCAGGCTCTGAATAAAAATCAGAACTCTCTCAAGACTCTTTATATACCGACACCAATGGGATGTTTAGTTTTCTCTCACAATCCTGGTAAAACAGTCACAGATTTCAGTGCCTAATCCTAAAATTATTGGGCAAAAGATGGAGAACTTCACAAATATAACAGAGATATAGAACACTGCCAAGATAGAAAACTAGCACCAGTTTCATCAACCTAAAGCAGAACTGAAATATCAAACAGTATTGTGCAATTCAGCTTTCTAAAAAAAATAAAAAAAAAAATCGACAATGCTCTCATGTGGACATAAAACCTGAAATTAGCTGAGGGCAATGGGGAATAAAGGAAGTAACTGCAACAACCTCAGTAAGAGCATACACAAACTTTACATAATAGACCCATATATAATTACAAAAATATGGTTTAAAACCTTCATTCAAAGAATACAGTCATAGAATTAAAGCCATTTAGGTAATCAGGCGAAGAATCTTAAACTTGTACAAAACACTGGCACTAAGAAGTATTGTTGTTTAAGCAAAGCAAATGTCTTTTCATGTTTTGAAAAAATAGGAATTTAAGGAAAAGAAATGAAGTGTCATCTAAAATTATGACAAGAACAAAGCAAATAGTAGGAGATATCTGAGGCAAGAAACAGTTTATAAAGACAGAATATTATCACTTTCAAAGCCTAGTGGCATACCAGGCTCTACAGCTAGTACAGAACTGAACCACTAACTCCTACGACACAAGAAAAGCTAAGAATTAGTAAATTTGAACCTAACAATAAAACAATTAAGTTTGGTGAGCTATTCTATGCCTCCTTTTAAAAAGAGAATTCAACATGGTAAGACTGTTAACAAAGTTTCAGGGTACTACATACAAGTAATCCTTGTACAAAATGGGCACACAGATTTGGAATTGGTACTAAATCCTAGACAATGGTAAGAAAGTGATGAGTTAAATTTAATCCAGATGTAAAGACAGCAATTGCTAACTTAATGCAGAACAGTGTTACAGTGAATTATCATGGCTGAATAAAACTCACAGAAGTGTTAGACAAGCACTTTCGTGACTTCAAATTCACAGGAACATAGATAAGTGCTAGAAAAATGAAACAGGAAAATATTCAATAGTGTTATTTGAAAAACACCCTGCAATGTAAAATAGGGAACGGTTTACAGAATACTTGCTGAGATTCTGGTAAAAATCAGAGCTTTAAGTTACAACTGTACTGGTCAGTGTTACCTTAAATAAATCAGGAACTTGGTGATCCTGCATCTATCTTTTTTTTTTTTTGCTAAATTCTTAGAATCTGACTGGTTTTACTTATGGACACAAATAGTTCCGAAGGAGGTGAAACTACTGACTCATAAGAACAAGGAAAGACAGGTGAATCAGAGGCACAAGGTAACTTACCTGAAGTCAAATAATGGAGCAAAAAAAGAAGGTATGTATGTTGACTAATGCTGTATGTTAGTATTTAGAACTTAAACATGATCTATACCATAATTTCATTATTTAGTTATGTATGCTAACACTCTCAAACTTTTCAGACACTTTGAAAGGATGTGAGTTCACACTCTGAAAACTGAGACAAGGTAGCACAAATCCAGGAACAATTAAAAGGCTATTTTTAAATTATTTAATGTAGGGTATCCATCAGAAACTGGTCTTTAAGATGGGCAACGTGCATAAAACTGGATATGGTAAAAACTAATTTGTCATGAACAGTTTATCCTTTCTGTCTGTAGGATAGCATCATAAGTTTAATACTGCAAGGCAGTAACAAAAAACTGCTGGCACTTTCTAAACAACTAAAAATCCAAAAAGGACTCTGCTTGCAACTGGAGACTTAAGACTTCGACAGACTGTCATACAGTGCTATAGAACTGCAATTTGCTATTGTACACTTACTGTAGGCAGTGACTATTAATATAATATTTCCCCTCAAAAAGAAATTAAAAGAATAAACTCACCACTTGCCCATTCTGAGGATTCTTATGTGCATATGGAGGTCCACGGATGTGATTCCACATCTGACCAGATGTCATAGCAAATACAACACACTAGAAAAAAATATAGAAAACCAATATACTGATTTATTTACCCAAAGGAATTGAATAGAAAACCATTCTGCTGGTGATGTTTGTTTTAGATACATAATTGTTTACCTACCAGATACCAATCTATTTGATTTTTAGGATAGGGTTTTCAGATGTGTTGCTCTCATAAAATTCTTAATGACTTCTGTTAGAAAATGAGTTAGCTCAAGACAGAGATTTTCAAAATCTCACTTGAAATAATCCTGTCTTTATGTGTACTTGGAATTGGTACATTTACACATCTATATGGCAATATGTACTCATAGCAGTAGAAGGCATTCAAGTATTCGGCAAACTGGTGTTCGAGATTTATATTTCATGCACTTAATTCTCCCTCTAATCTAATATAAATATTTAGCTTAACTGTTTGCTTTCAGGTGTATGAAATTATATATAAAATCATAAGAAAAAAATCCTATTATAAAAAAAAATCTGTCCCATTTTATGAAATTCTTATTGTGCGTCATATATGACTGTGATTTATTTTAGCTAAGACAAATAATGGTTGAGTTGGTAGAAGAGTGAAATTCCTTATAGAAAGAAATGCGGAGTTACGCTAAGAATGTTTGAAAAATGTAAAAATGGATATTAATTCTTGCAGAAGGCCATACTGCAGAATCTACATGACAAACATTAAAGTCGTAGCAAGAGTCATGACTATCTTAAAGACAAAAATGTAGTATCTTTTGATTACCAAATGAGAAAAACACAAATGAGGAAACTTGGATCATCTAAATATGTCTTCTCACTTAGCAGTACAGATAATCCTTACAAAAACGTCAAGATAATTTAAGCACAGTTTTTACATATATGCTTATTTTCACTGTACATCAATAGTCCCACCAGCATAGTATAGTCATAGTGATTTATGCAGATGGATCATGAACATAAAAATTCATACCATGATGGTTAACTAAACCAGGGTTTACTAAAACCCTTTAAAAGGGTTTTCTTTAAAGAATGTTTAGTAAAACATCTGTGAAATAAATGTAAGCTAGTGTAGCTCTGTATCCCCATAAATCTAGCATTTCCACCCCTAGAAGTATGATTTGAATAAACTTTGGAAGGCTTTAGGACTGAACCTTGTCAGGCTTTATCCAAACCTGTCTTGGCTTTCCTGGATTTAATTTTTTTAACTTGTGCAGTTGAAACAGCAATTTTTCCAAAGATCATGAGGCTATGCCTAGTTCACATTACTTTTGCTTATCTTTGTATGACATAACACATACTTTCTTTTATTCTATTTAGGATGAAATAATTATGACCACAGGACCTCTTTAGTGGCAATGAAGTTCACCCCTATTACCAGTCCTAGGTGAGTACATTGTACGTGTAGACAGGATTGCTCTAGGACCTTGTTAACAAACCACAAGTGGTGCTTTCTTGATGGGTTCACAGTGCATGACTTCAGCCTTAGCTCCGCTAAGAGAGAAACTTGGAGCTTACCTGTGGTGCACTTAGTGTGTACCACAAGGCTCCTAAGAACATACACAAGGCAAATAAGCACCAAGAGTCTCATCAGAATGCTGAATTGCTGGCAAGGTACATCTTTACAGGTACATGGGCAGAATTTCTTGACTGCTCTTGGTCTTGCAAGCTTTGTCAAATGATTTATGTTTAATGTATCACTTTCTTATAAGTGTAAGCTTTGTTTAACACTATCTGCCAGTTTAATAAACAAAATTACTAGAGACTTAAAAAGCCATTTGTATGCATTTTGAAGTGAAGCTTCCTACTAGCAGATACTATACAAAGAGATCATTAGATTTCTCTGTAAGTTTAGACCCCAGAACGTGGTAAATAGTTTGTAACATAAGAAAAAGAATGAAATTCTATATTCATAAATGAAATACTACAATTCAAGCATTGTTTCAAAAAAAAGGGGAGACACAGGAACTCAGTTCTGTACTTAATTTCTATGCTGTTCTGTATGTGTTTTAGCCATTTCCCAATTATTATTTCAAAGAAATGTAATCCTTTCTACCCAATTTAACTTTGCTTTTGTACTCAAAGAAGGCTACAGAGTTGCAAGACTACTCCATTTCTAAATAACAATGCATCATTCAGTAGAATCTTCAACAAGAGATATACAATCCAAGGGAGTACAACACATAAGCAAAGTGAATGGGTTTCTCTGTCTTTAAAAGGCAATATGCATCTCTAAAATCCCTAGCTATGGGAAGAAGAGGAAATTAATAACTTGCATGTGTTGCTGTTCTTTTGAGGTGCCTATCTTGCCATGTAGAGAAGCCTGACTTTTTCCAGCTGTATCATTGAATAAAACACATTACTTTTTCATTGTCATTCCCAGAAGGGGGTAAAGAAGCCACTAGTAGCCATGATACCCTCCAAATTCTGGTGGAGCAATAGCTGATGATGAATGTACTGTATGGCATAGGTACTGTGGAGTGTACCAGCACAAAGTACATTTCTCATAACCATTAACTGTTACAACAATAGTAAACACATGCTTTGCCTTCAGTTCATGTGATTTGACATATTTTGCCCAATAGAGTGAACTCCTAGGCAGTTGCCTTCGAACCTGAACTCAGACTTTGTTTTCCCACATTCCACAGGTATACAGGTAAATCTGAAATACACACATAAAATAAAACTGAAAATTATATGCAGAAAACCACAGTGGCAGCCTGGTAAAGAAAATGCTTCAAGAAGGCTCCTAGTAGCTCAGATTCTAGCCAACTGAACAAATAACTTCTCAGCACTAGAACTTTTATCTAAACTGTAGCAATTCCTTATTTAAAATGTTAGAAATTTGCCCAGTTGATACCATCTGACCTTTTATTCTTTCTGTTTAAGAAATGAAGAGTCTTGACAAGAATCTGAATTGCTTCTTGTTATCAGTATAAAAGGAGAGTACTCTACAAATATCTAAGGACTGAAGTCCTTCCTCATCTTTGTACCAGCATGTCAAGAGGGAAAAATATCCACAGATGAACAGCAGTATTGGAATGAAAGTCTAAAATAATCTAGAGGATAAATTTTGTATGTGATCTCAAAAGACATCTTTTGGGAAACTATGTACTCAATCATCCTGTTTGCCATTCTAAAAGTCTTCTGGGTGATGTTGCACATAAAAATGCCTAAGGCAGGCAAGATACTACCAGAGCTTGAAGTTCTCCAACAGGGGGATGAAACCGCTAAAGGCACTGCTGTAGCACAATCTAATGTTGAGGACAAAACCAATTCAATAGTCTTGTGTGAATTGGGGCTGGAATCAATGTGTGAGATGAAAGCTCTGGTCTTGCTTCCTAAAGTCTATCAAACAATTAGAAGAATTACTAAAAATGGCATTCCTAAATATTCCCCAGAAACAGTGCTGGAAATAATACCCATGAGACACAACTTTTTTGTATCAGTAGAGTTATCAAACAATAATTCTGGGATTCTCTGTTCTCATGCTAGTAAAAACAGAAGAGGCATTTTATGATATGATTTATTTTCTAATTTTTAGGAACCGATCATTCAATGAGCTGTCCATTTTTTACTTAAATAAAAAGTATCCAACATGTGGGAGCATAAAAGCTCTTCAAAACAAACTAAGAAGCTCTGAAAAACAAGGAAAAGAAAAGAAGAAACTTGTATGTTTGCAATGATACAGTTTTCAGTTATTCCAGGATCTGTATGAAAGATTTTATTTGAAATCAAAAATGTTATTTTCCATATGGTTAATGAATGCTGACTACCCAGCAGTACAACACCTCCCCAAAAACAAACAAATCCAAAAATGACAGCTTTGAGAAAAAAAAGCTCCTGTGCTTTCCCAGTTCTCCAACATCTGTAAAAAGAACTGCCAATAAGGAACAAAATAAATGCCAATACTTCTGTCAAAAATATGGGCTTCCTGCAGTTCTTATGCATCTTGCCAGATTTTCCAGTTTCACTTGTTTTTTAAAGTTCAAAAAGGAACAAATATTCATACAGAATATAACTTGTTAAAATGAAGTATTTACTAGTCATTTATACATTTCATAAAAGCATTTCATTAGGCATGACTCATTCCCTTAACTAGACACCATTTTCTCCATTTTTCCTTTTAATTGGCTTTTATGAAAAAAGAAGTTCTAAGCTGTACTGGTCAAAAAAAAGCACCATGTAAGACAATCATAACTACACAATAATTTAGAATGAATAAATTAATGACTCTCAATTTTCTTGACATATTCTAGTCATTTTACAGAACTGAGGTAATCTGTGCAAAAGCCTGCAATCTGGAGTCCCTGGTGATTCCACCAAAAAGAACTTATAACATTAACTTTTATGTCCATGTAGACCTGAATAAAACCTAAAGGACTTCTGGTAGCTGCATGATCTTTGCTAAAACATAATTTTGCAGTATGGGGCTTTGAAAACATTGTGAAGGCAAAATAACAATAATGATTAAAAAAGGTATTAGCAACAACAATAAATCATATTAATGCCATTTTAATTCCTTTTAACTCTATTATTGCTTGTCAATACAATCAGCAGGATGGCAGTTACTCAATGGCATTAAAACAATTTCTTTCAATGTTTGATCACATTTGGATATTGACTCTGTCCACAGGGGTTCAGTTGAAAGTGATTAGAAGTTTTCAACATTGCAATTTACAGTTGCATTCAGATGTAAGATATCCAGCTGCTGCTAAGGAGAACAGCAAGTATTTTAAGAAAGAATTGATGTGTTAATTTTCTTAATGTAATTAGGAAGTTAACTATGTCTTCAACTATTCATTGAAAGCATATTGTAACAAAATAATTTGTGACTTGCAGAATTTATTTTTAACAAGACAAAAAACACAATTCCCCAAAACATTCAAATATTAAAATTCTGATCTGAAACCCTGAGGTATGAAATTGGAACAAAATTGCTATCTCCAGAGATGCAGTGCATGGTTAAACAAAGGAAATACCACTGATTACATAATATTATTTTATTTTTGACATAAACATCTATTTTAGTGTGCTAATTTTTGTTTTACTCAGATGATCTCTAAAGATATTTAATTAGGAGTCAAAAAAAGTTAGACTGATATATATATATATATAAATTTTCTGGTGGTAGTGTATCTTTAAAAAATATTATAATTGAAAAATACTGGTAAACTAGAAAATACATGGAGCTAAATATGACAGACTTACTTTGGCAGAGAACTGTGAAAACTCTTGTGCTAGAGCTCAGGTTAGTCTAAATGACACCTTGGAACAAAGAATATATCGTGCCCTGGTTCTCTAGATTAAATGAAACAGCATTCTACTTGAAATCTAGTTCTGCAGGTGGTTTATTTGAAATCTTGTTCTTTATTCCTTCCTCAATATATGAGGTAGATAAGCAAACCACTTAAAGAACATGTGTCATTTACACTAGTAGGAAATGTTATGATAGCACATGAGAGAAAACAGCATTATCAGTAACCATTACTAAAGACTAATGCCAAATATTAAGGAACTCTGAACAAAGCTTGCTTTAACATCTTGTTTATCTGTCATTTTAGATACAAAAATGAATTTGAGCCCAGCCAGTACTAGATAACTTCATCTTTGAATTCACGTAATAAAAGATGCCAATGGGTCCATTAGCTGAAATTGTCACAAGAGAATGTATCTTTTCATGCTGCTGAATCAAAGAAGAACAGCAAACCATCAACATGATTTGGCTTTGAAAAGGCAAAAACAGTGACAGGATATATCAGTAGCCTACTCTGAGCTGAGCCAAAATACACAGAATCATAGAAAACCCAGGTTGGAAGGCACCTCAGAAGATCATCTGGTGCAGGCTTTTGTGGGAAAGGGAGCTAGAGGAGAAATAAAATATGAATGTGGCTGCACAAGTAAACTCATATTCCATATTCCAGTCCTAGCCATGTGCTTTCAAGAAAGGTTAATTCATACTGATGCAAGTTGAGAAGGACAAAAAAAATATTTAAAATAATGAAGTGAATAAATAACCATTTACATGGAAAAAGGAGGAAAAATTGGCTTATGCTGTACAAAATAAATGGACAATTTTTTACAAAGTATTGTTATCAATTAATATATTGCTAATACAGAAGGAAGGAGCTATATTAAGCTATAAAATGTTGGATTGGAGTTGACAACCTAATTCTAGTGTTGATAGTGTTAGCTATTTCCTATCTAAAACAGACAGCTAACTATGCAGCATAGTCCACATTTTTCATCAGTCTACTCAGTTATTTGAAAACTATGATATAAATAAAGACACTGTTAAGCACATTAAACCTCAATTCATTATTTATGACCTTGACAATTTAGTTGACTAATATTTCAAACAGACTATTGGCTAGTTTGAGAATTTCTCAGAGTTAACCCTATATGATCAACCTATTCTCATTCAGGTTAACAGTAGAATGTTAAGGTCAGTACTGCTGAAATCAGTTCTGGAAAGAATTCCACCTTTTTCTTAGTTTCTTAGTTCTTTTATAATTTTCTTACAAACATAAAAGCCTTTGTTACTTTTCTTAACCTTTCATTATTCTAAAGGTATACAGTTTGACATTAATATCCACACTACACCAATCATAATATTACTGTTTCTACAAAAAAAGGGCAAGTTTAATTGTTAAAGTTCAAAAAAAATCTGAAGCTCATAGAATTTGCTAATTTTCAGCGAATCACTCCTACTAGCTGATACTTCCTGCTTATGAGAATTAGTCCCAAAATCTAGATTATTAATCTTTGTCTGATAGTACCATTCTGAACAATGTAGTAATGTAATGGGTTTTAATTTACAGTGCAAGTAATGAAGACACATGTGCCAAGATAAGAAACTAATAAAGAGCATATTACTAAGGAAAATCTGCATACCAGAGCTGCCATAGCCCAGCCAGTTTTGTTGTAGATGAACTCTAAGTTATTTCTTCGAAGATATAACAAGCCACCAACAAGAGATACCAGAAGAGCCAGTGCAATTGTACCAGAATAGTTCGGAGGCCTGAACACTCTAATCTGAAAAAGATAAATGTAAGTACAGATTTTAAATAAACGCATACATACAGATCACCTTCCATATAAACAAATAGGGAGCATCTGAAATCTGGTTTCACAGTTAGAAAAACTAATCCCTAAAGGTATACTTAAGTAACAAAAAATAGTACTTCCTTTAATAGGCATATAATATGAATTAAAAAGGTTTAAGCATAATTTTCAACTGTTCAACTCCAAAAAATTATTTCTTCAATAGATTTGCAGGTTGTGCCTGAATCAGGAGCAGCCACCTGGTTTTGCACATAGTTTTGTAAGACACATTTTACTTATTAACAATTAACTGTCACAATATCACTTCTTGTTTTCACAAAGTAAAAATGGAATGCAATCAGCAAACTGCAGAAGTTACCACAGGTACCATGACTATATTTCTTCTTTTTTTGTGTGTTTTAGAGCCTACCCTTGAGGGAAAAAAAAGTATTCAGGAAAGACCAAATTTGTCATCAGTCTGTCTCAGACTACAAAGGTACATTTGGCTGCAACTTTTAAAATTGTCGAAAGACTTACATGAACATCTGTTCTGTCAGCTATCCATTTAGCTAGCTGCTCAGCCGCAAATCCGATTCTCTGCAGGTCAAATGTGTCAGCTCTCTTGGGTTTACCTTTTGGAGGAAAATGCATGAAAGTCGGAGCAGAGTTCATATTCAGCTACAAAACCAGGAAAAATAGCAGAAAAAAATTAGTAACTCTATCCTTAAAAATGTTTACCTTTTATATATAAGGTAACAATGATCTAATTAGCATGAAAAATATTATTTGCCTCCATATGTTACACTTTTTTATACATCTTCATGTATAGTCCCACAAAAACAGTGCTCAGAATATTCCTTCATATTTTCTTCTCATAGATTCTTTGAGAAGTTTAATTATTCAGAGTATTTCACCCACAAGCTTTTCTGACTAAGACTATCTGACACACTGTGAGAACTTTCCTGCAATTAAGTAAAGCAGAGATCCCACACCCACACAATCTATTAAAGTATATTAGGTATATTCTAGGGGATGAAAAAGTGTTTAAATAGCTTGACATTGTTTCTCTTGCCTAGCTCTCACCAATCTGAAGCTAACTACGCTAAACTATTCATCTAGACTTCCACTAGATTCCAGACAGACTATCCACTAGTGACTAGTCTTTTTCAAACAAAAAAAGCCCTAAATAACTAGCTTAGACAACATAACTTGCCCTGGAAATTATAGGACTGTTAATCTATGTGTTGATGTCACTGAAACTATTCACAGTATATAAAAAAACTTAAAGGTGATAAACAAACAGATATACATTTACATTTACATTTGCTGCTTTAAATTTTGACTTCAACTTTGTAAGGTGGTATAGAAGAATGCAATTTACTATAGAAAATTTCTTCATATTCAGTCCATCTCAGATATCGTGCAATACAACATTTGGAAAAAAAAATGAAAATTAACAAACAAAAATCAGTGGAAAGACTTAAAGATTATGTAATATAGTAACAAATAACAAATGCAGAGTAAACTTATTTGTTTCATTCCTGCAAAATTAGTTTTATGAGATTACCAAAACATAACATTTAATCAAGTACAGAACTGAATGTATCATTAGAAAATACCAGCTATTAAAATATTTGCTACCTAAGCAAAAAACAGCCGGCTTCTTTAGTGAACTGATTTGGAAATAAAAATATACTGAGAAAGACTACAAAAACTGTTGTGAAATATTTTAATAAAATATTTTATAAGATACAGAAAAATTCTAAGATACAGAAACCTTGGAAGCAAAAGTATTTACTAAACATAGTAAGTAAATCTTTTAAGGTATTTAAAAAATAAATATTACACATTTCCCCTGAAAATTTTAAATCACACACTTCAAAAGGTTGTTAAAAATACAGAGAACTTCAAAACTGGTCACTTCTCTTAATCTGTATTTTCAGTCATTTGATGAGTATCAGAGAAAATCACATCAGTATTTAGTACTAATTTTCATGGGATGTGTTTTGCCTCAACTACTCAATTTAAGAGTTAAGAGGGGGCCTTAGACTGTTCTCCAGCAATTGATTTTTCACTCTTCATAGACAATATATAAAATCTAAACCAGTTTCTTGTCTTTCACTGAAGAACTTCCAGACTAACACAAATATTACTGGAGTTTAAGAATACTATATTACATAAAAGCAATTAATAAGCTTTTTTAGTTAAAAGCTTTTTACCCCTGAAGAGAAAGGAAACCTTTAGACACATGTTAGTTTCATTACACTTAATTCTAGAAACTGACATTAACAGTGGATTGAAAAAAATGTCCATACATGTAATGTAATCTATAAACAAACATTATAAGTTACACTTGGAAGATACTGGAAGCGACTACTTGTATAAGTCTTCGCTAATGTCACAGAAACTCCACTGACTGTTGTTCATAACCAGGAAGAATTTATACTTGAAGCACTGAAGCACATCTACACACAGAAAATAATATGTCTTGTATCATTTGGCAAATAAACACATAGTTCTAAAACTTAAGAATGTTTTACAGTATCCATTATTTACCTGTTGAAAAACATCTGCCCCTTCATCATAATCCACTATTGTGAAAAACAATTTGTTGGAAAAAGCAGATGAATAGCGCCACGAATTAGCCAGCACTTGGTATTCTTCATTAGCTTGCCTGTTAAGGAAAAGAAACAAACATACATCCATGTGGCATTCACAGGCAAAAGATTCTATAACCAACTGCAGTGGTTACATGAATTACACTTGCAGTACCACTCTCAACACCCATATAAAATCATAGAATACCAGGTTGGAAAGGAGCACAAGGATCATCTAGTCCAACTTCTCAAGGTAAAAGTTTAGTTTAAATGAGATGAGTCAGCACCCTGTCAAGCTGACTCTTAAAACTAACCAATGCAGGGGAATCCACCACTTCTCCTGGGAGATTATTCCAATGTCTGATTGATCTCATGGTAAAAAAATTTCTTCTGGAGTTCAGCGGGAATCTCTCCAGAAGTAACTTGTGTCCATTACCCCTCGTCTTTTCCGTGTGAGTCCTTGTGAAAAGGGAGTCTCCATCTTCTTGGTAGCCACCCTTTATGTACTGGTACATGGGGATAAGGTCCCCCCTAAGCCTTCTCTTCCCAAGGCTGAACAGGTCCAATTTCCTCAGCCTTTCTTCATACAGCAGGTCTTCTAGTCCTCTACTCATCCTCATGGCCCTTCTCTGGACCCTTTCCAACCTGTCCGCATCTTTTTTGGGACAAAAATTGGACTCAGTACTCAAGGTGTGGTCTGACCAGTGCCGATCACACTATCAATTTAAAAAAGTTTCAGCTGCAACTCTTTGCTTCAAACTTGCCATCTCCAAAATTATAAATACATTAAGTCAAACTATACCAGAGACACTGCAAGACGATGTTACAAAAACTAATGTTTTTTGTATTTAAAAGTTTCAGAAAACAGGAGTGGCTCGAGTGGCGAGCATCACACAAATCTGCTAACAGATCCATGAGTAACAGGCCCTTGAGTACAATATCAGGATTTATTGCTGAAGGCAGATGCACATAAGGAATTCTGAAACCAGTGGAAACGTAACACAGAAATGTGACAGTAGTAATTTTCCTAAATAGCAGAGCCGTTGAAAGAGCCATAGAAACTTCTAAGCATTAGGGAAACAGCCCACCTGAAGTGCATATACACCAA